ACAGATTTTAAAAATCTCTGTAGAGGCATACTTCGTTATCTAATGGTAACTTAAATTACTCAAGGTCTTATTTTTAATAACAAAGTTTATTTTTTCAAATAAAAAGGATACTTTCTTCACAAAAAAAAAAAAAAAAAAATCAAATGAACAACAGGATACATGGCAAAATAGAAGATCTCATAAATATTCCTAGCATCTATGACATTTTTTTCTCTTATTTGCTGTCATTGATCGCCACTACAATTCCTCTGCTGCGCATTTGAAATTCCAGTTTCACCTCAAATTTGCATTTCCATAGCCTGACAAGTCCGCCGCACATCCATTATCCAATTTGCATAGCCTATCCGGTACACATATCGCGCGTTTTCTCAATATTTGGGCTTTAGATATCGACATGGGTTCGGGCATTTGGAGCACGGACAACCGAACGGGCAGCAGGTGGGATATGGGCTGCAGCAAGGGCCACACGTACCACACGGTCCGCACGGACCGCGTGAGATGCAAGGACCACAGGGTCCACACGGACCGCAAGGCTGGCATGGTGCGCCAGGCTGACATGGGCCACAGGGACCACAAGGTCCAGTCGGACAGCCATATGAACCGCAGCAGCCGCAACAGGGCTCGCACATTTTGAGATTCGTTTTGCAAGTAGGCTGTGAGAATGGTAAAATAAAGGGCTAATTAGTATATAGCGTGTGGTGCGCAATTTATAGCTATTTGCATACCTGCTAGTTTGAAGAAAATATCGGTGCTTTAATTTTGATGTGTATTAAGAAAAGGCCGAAACGTTTTTGAACTATTTGATTAAAGTGTCGAAAAACAAATCAAACATTTCTCATTGAGAACTTGAGTGTGCCAGAGCTGTAAAACTGTGAAATCATTTGAAATTAAAAATCATCAATTTTATGCTATTATGTTTTCATTGAATTTTTCCTTGTTGGGGAATGTGGCTTATAATTTTCCAATTCTACATTCACTCAAAGTAGATACGATTGCACACATTAACATATTCAAAGAAAGATTGAAAAAACTGAATGACGAAACATTAACTTTTAACACTGAATAAGCATTCAGATGAATGCAGCTTTTGCTATGTGTGCACACATTCATTCAGTACCAATCAATCGATATAAATATTCTAAATACACAAAACCCACTGAAAAATACGCAAGGTTGAATTTTATTGAACAGATTTCAAAATTTCAACTCGAAAAATAGTTTATTGAGCGTTATCATTAATTTGTTTCACTTAAATTTGTACAAATATTTATAATAAATGAAAATATTAATTAGAGAAATATTTTTCTGCCAAGAATGTCATTATGAAAAAATGTTAATTATTAACGATTTTTACATCTCTGTTTCGAAAATTGTCAGCTTTCTAAATAAGTATTACCAATGTACCAATAAAAGGTATGTGCAGAAATTATTACATATGTACATACCTATAAATCTACGTTAAAATAAGTAAACAAATTTAAGCGCTTCTAATTCTAACTTTAGATATATACATTTTATTACTTATTTAAAAAATTCTTAATACAAGTTTCTTCGTACTTTTTTCTTCGCTATTGGGTCAAGCATTTAATAAAGATTCTAAAACCTGATTTGTGGGTTTGTGGTGGTTCCTACCATTTACAATAAGTTGCAAATTATCAACTTTTCTCAAAAAAAGATTTAAAAAATCTGTGTGCAAACCCCTTTTTATTTTAGTGTGGTAGAATCGAAAAAAATGTGGTAGATTTGAATAAGATGTGGTAGATTTTCCAATTCATATTTTATTGGGTATACATATCGCACACCGTCGTCAAAAGAAGCACAACTCAAAAATTAAATCGGGAAATATAATTGCTAGTGGATCGTACAGATTCCACGCAATTGGTGCAAAAATAAGTATAACATTAGTTTTCTAGTTAGAGAATATAATCATGAAGAAAATAATATTTTATTTGTATGCAAAAAAATCGACCAAATTATTTTCCCATTGCATAATACTTTAGCAAATATAAATAGGCGTATTTTTGAAATATTAGAAAGTTAAGGCACAGATATATTTAAAGCAAAATTTATGATGTACCTTTTTAAAAATCTATTGATTAATTTTTATATTTCAAATTACAATTGAGTTGAAATTCTAGAGTTATGTGAAAATTGTAAACAAATGTTCTGTCTAAAAATGTGGTAGATTTTAAGCCTTGTGTGGTAGATGTGGTTGACACCCAAATTTAAAAAAAAATACGTGGTTGATCTACCACACATGTGGTAGAAGCTTGCACACTGTTCTAAACGTATGTTTTGAGCAAATTGATGTTTAAAGCTAGCAATATATCCCATGTCCATTTTCCAAAACTATAATAATAAACATGGCAGTTTTTAAGCAATTTGGTTCCTGTAATTAAGGAAATATTGCAGTTTTGGCATTTTTCGAAATTACCATTTTATGAGAGGGACCAGGTTATTGTTCGACTTTTGTATTTTCAATACCCTGCTGCCCTAGATAAAAAAAACCCTCGTACAGAATTTCGTTGAGATATCTCAACTTTTGCTAGAGTTTTCGTGTACGCAAATAAACGGACATGGACTAATCATCTTCTCTTTTTATTCTGAGCATTTTTATGTATATATACATACATAAGTAGTACATACGAACATAAATGTATGTATCCATATCGATTAATTTTGGTTGTTCCAAATATACGTTATTTGAAAAAAAGTTATGGTACCCTCTTGCAGAACTGCGTTGTAAATATGTTTAGGAAACATTTAAATTAATAGTTTATTAAAAAAGTTGCTCAAAGTAATGGAACTCCTCAACCCCTTAAAAAAAAAACAGGAACCCTTCTGAAATTTTGTTTTGAAAGTTTTCATATTTGAAAACTGAAAACAATCACAGTATACAGCAAACCAGCCATTGACAATATGCTTATTTGAAAACTAATACATGAAATGTTGTGAATATATAGGATTTTTTTGTCATTAACCCATAGGCAACAACTGGTGCAAAAGTACCTACAAATGTTTGTTGATATATTTGAAATGTAAATTTGAACAGCAAAATTCATAAAACAAATTATAATAAAACAAAAATATTGTTAATTACTACGTGGGAGGTGGGCGTGGTTATTGGCAGATTTCGACAAAATTTAACACTAACCTAAATTATACCAAAGGCAACTTCGACACCGACTTTCGTTAAAATAACTAAATTATGTTCGAGTTAGCGTGCTTACAAACAGAGAGGGCTGAACTAGTTCATCTCGTCATTCTGAATATATGTGTATATACATACATACATTTTATACGGTTAACAAACGCGCTCGCTTATTTGCATAAACCGTCTTTACTTGCATTAATTCATGCATTATCCTCCTTCAAATGTGAATAATCGGCTGAACAAATACACACAAATTACGTGCATTTGAAAATTGGAGAGCTGTACCATAAGCTAAGTAATACTTCTTTTACCGCCTAATCGATGGGACCATTTTACAAAGTCAGCCCACCATTATTCACTCAAAGTTGTGTTCAGAACACGGTTTGACTTATGTAGGAACTGCATCCGGTCATAATTGCTAACGCTTCACGCTTCATTTGCTTGGAATTTCGTGTTTCTCGTTATTTTATTTTATGTGACTTGAAAATATTTTTCACTATAAGAAAATATTTAAATTGGATTTCATTTGGGTTAACGAAAACGACAACTGTGAAAAAATATCAACCAATACATTCAAACAAAATGCCAAATAAGCATGTTTACATTTTTTGTTTTGGCTACCTGGATCACTGTATACTGTGAAAAAAATATTTAGTACAAAAATAATTGTGATAAATCAATTTTGTATATTCTTCTGCGAAAAAATGTCTACAATCGATGATGTATATGTATACATATCAAGATGTGTCTGTTTTGCTCTACGGTTGCGATAAGTTGCTTTGGAATAAATAATATTGCACGAGTCATTGGCTTTGGGTTAGTGGCAGAAAACTTCAATACATAAGTACATATACTTTGAAATAAAATATTTGTTTTTGTTTCAATTCCAGATATGTTCAAACTTTAAAGTATAAAATATATCAACCCTGGGAACAAATTATTGGTACTGAATGGTAAAAAAAAAGTGTGCATTCATTCTAAATATACAATCATGTCTGTGTGCGAATGCTTCTGTTACATTCACATTCTATACTGAATGTCAATCTACCATTCAATAACACAACACAGTTTCTTTGTTTTCAAGTATTTTAAGCCACTCAGTAATGAGGTTTTTTTTTTATACAAACAAACAATCAAAATTTTGAAAAGAATGCCGAGTGAATGCAGATCCTATTGATTCAATCATTTTACAGCTCTGGAGTGTGCTTGAGTGGATTACATTTAAAGCAAGTTGCTTTTTATTTGAAAAAGGAATGATGCAATTATTGCGTCATGGAAACAAAGGACGTGGCGTCTTAAGAGCCAAAAATCTGCCCATCCCTGCTCTAGACCAACCCGCTGAGTCCGATGTTGTTCCACGGTCTCTACTTTTTTTCGCCGCCCTATAAAAAAGTAAAAAGTGTTTTATATTCCAGTGGTTAGTTTATTGTTTATTGGGTGCCAAGGGAAGCCAGCATTTACGATTTTGAATGACTAGCAAATATTAGCACCGGAAATCCCGGCCTTAGTATACCCCATCTGTATACCAATCGTTTTAGGACGAAACTGTACTAGAATCTAATCCTTTATCTGTCTTCACCCAGAAAGTCAATGCACCTCCCCAGTAAAATAGTCATGGTTTATTGCTTTTGTAGTAAGTTTTTTGTATATTTGCGAGTCCAGGATAAAAATTCTTTAAATTGTACTGCATTTTGGTGGCTAGCCTTAAGCTTAGTACCGACTTTACGCGGGAATATGTTGGTGCTCATAAGGCAGACTTATCGATATTATCTTTTGCGCCTGCATTTTTTTTTTGCCCAGATGCAATACTTCTATTTATATTTGTCAATGTGCTTCGTAATTTCAGAGGCAGCAGGAGTTTGGACAACAATTGGCGCATGGATCGCATGATGGTGGTGGGGGTGGTGGTGGTACACAGCATGGATCGCAACAAGGTGGGCATGGTGTTGAATTTGGTATGCACGGCGGGCCACAGATGCCATGCGCCCCGCATGCGGTAATTTGTCCATATGGTCCTACTGGTCCGTATGGGCCTACTGGAGCAACAGAAAAACCGCAAGGATCGCACATTTCTAGTTTTGTTGGGGCTGGTTGCTGTTGGCGAAAACGATTGGTATGTAAATTTTTTCTTAACTAAAAATTGCGTACAAATTTGCAATTTACCTTCAGCAAATAAATTATTTTATACTCGAAAATTTTGAAATGATATTGTGCAAAGTGGGTTGACAAGTGAAGCGAAGATTGCTAGGTGAATTAATATAAATTCGCCTTCTAAGATTGTGATTTTTTTTTTTTTTTAATATTTGAAAGTGCAATAGCTGTCAGTCATGATACAAAATTATGTGGTATAATTTAAGGCGCTTATGTTATTAATTTAAAAAATTTGCAGTGGGATTCCAAAAATCGTTCTGTAAATTTCGTTTGGCGAAAGCATTTAAATAGCATCTCTGCCTTAAAATACGTATTGTCTCGTGAGAGTCACGACCTGTGACCCATTTTTACGATTTCATATTGCACCTCTTCGGTTTTGATGTTGCATACTTTTAGTCGCACCTGTTATTTTGACATTTTTGGCTATGACGATTTCTAGAATCCCAGTAGGAATTTCTCCGCCAAAACTCAAGATTCCGGATCTGGTCACATCAGACATTTGTCTAGGTGGCGAATGATTATTCGGGAACTCAAGCAACGGATCTATTCGAGTGGGAATTTATTTAAGTATCTAACCCCAGAGTTGTATCCTAAGCAAAATCATAGTAATCCAAAATAAAGACCACCACCATTGATTAATCCAAAATATTTTATTTTTCATTAAACAACTTTTTAATCCAAAAGCATTATACATATGTATATTCAAAAATAACGTTCTGGCTAGCAGCGCCAAGCTATTATTTTTTTATTAGCAACAACACTTTGGTGGCGTATTATAACAATGAGCCTTACATGGACATGGCCAACGGCAGCAGAAGTCTGTCCGTTTCAGATATCGACATGGGCAAACGCATGGCGAACAACAGCAAGGACTACAGCCAGAACACATTTTGTATTCGTTCACTTAGAAAGTGTTCTGAAAGATTATAGAAATTATTAGTTATTTAACGCTGGTTATTTTTTAATTTGCATACTTACTTTTTGGTGATTTGAAAAGAAGTCAGACAGCAAATTTTGTGCCGAAAAAAAATTTTTTTTATTTGTGTTTGAAAAATGATGTCAACTAATTTTGAAAGATATGGCAGTGCATGATTCAATAATTAATTGCCATGACAAAATGCGATAGACCTCCTATCATCGTACAGTACGATGCCTCCTATCCTCGGAGCTATGGTGGAAATAGGGTGGTATCAAGGTGAATTCGCCTTGGGTGGTATTATCGCTTGCGAAGCGAATGATTTTGTCCAAGGCGAATTTATACAAGGTGGTGTTGACAGAACAAAAACAAAAATTACAACAACAAATTATACGCACATTGACAATTAGTACAGCGCAAAATTACAACAAACACACCATTTTGACAAAAGGTACAAATTCGCCGTGAAATCAGCGGATCCGATAACACCACCTTGTATAAATTCGCCTTGATTTTGTCGAAGCGAACGGTTTGGCGGAACGAATTAAGAGATTAAAAGAGATTAAAAATGTTCGCCAAGCAAAGAACTTGCACAAGCTGGTACTAGCGTCCGGCAATCCATTCGCTTCACTAAACTCACTACATATAAAAATAAATACCAAATGACTCCAGTAGTAGCTTTTGCTGTATCACTCTTATTACTTTACTATTCAAAAAAAAAAACTGCTCTATTCCAAACCAAACCTAGTCACCAAAAACTTGATGAAAAATAATACATTTTAATAAAAGAAATACACTTTTATTAAAAAGAAAAAAACAGAATTGTAACCGAAAAAATTCGAATATAGCTATAGATTGGCTGCACTTAATTTTTTCCAGTCCCCTTGATTGGCAAGGTGATCATCTCTGGACGCTCTCTTTCCTTCTTTAGATTCACGTAGATTGCTCCTAACTAAAAACAAAATAAGCTCTCAATATTTTTCGAACAATTGAAAAAGCAGTTGCCGCGAAAACAAAAATACTCACAATATTTATTTGTTTTCTTTTGCCAGCGACGCTCTCTGTCAAATAGCCGCTTTAGCATTGGCTCTCTAGATCCCCGGAGCTGAATTGAGACTGAAAAAAATGTAATGGTTTATACATTGCAGTCTCTTTATTTAGCTCTGTCTTTTTTACTGCACTTACAGAAACGGCATAGAGACGCTTAGCAACGGCCACAGCAGGATCCATAAGGGCCACATCCCCCACAAGGTCCGCAAGGGCCGCAGCAGGGTCCACAAGGACCGCAACATGGTCCGCAGGGACCGCAATATGAACTGTAGCAGGGACCGCAGCAAGAACCATAACAGGGACCGCAGCACATGTTTGAGGTTTTACGAATTTCTGAAAAAAGTTCAGGAATTATTTATACATAATTGGTTAATTACAATAAAATCTGCTTTGATTTTAAATAGTTAAACATTTTACGCACTTTCGGTGAAAATATACGGAAAATTTATTAGCTGGTTTTATGCCGAAAAACTATTTTTGAATGAAAAGTTTTTGAAAGAAAATTTGAAAATATTTTTTAAAAGTCCAATGTCGCTAGATTTACTTAAAATTTGTATTTACAATGACAGTGTTTTTAAAAAACAAGTTATCCTTTAATAGGCGGCATACACGGTGCGTCTGACTCGTGAGTCGATTTGGATGTGTTTGTGAAAATAAATATGTGTTAGTTACACCAACATGACTCCCGTCATGACTCTGAATGATTCAACTGTGTGTAGTCAAGACGTACACAAATGACTCGCGAGTCAGACGCACCATGTATGCTGCCTATAAAGCTTATAAAGCTCTAAACGCGTACCTGAAAAAAGGGTAACTGCTTTATTGTTATTTCACTGGGGAAAGTCCGCTGCTGGGGCAGTAATATACCAATTTTCTATAGTATTGACAATCAGCAGAGAGAGCTTTCTCCTAGATACATACATTTGTACACAGGTTCGACAAAGCAAAGACAAGCCAAATAATAGATCTTTATATCTGCGTATATAAAGCGCTCAGCTATATTTATTTTACACTCTGCCATCAGACGCCTCATTGATGAAATATGCTCGGCACTTGCTTATTAGTTATACACGCGTGCCTCTTTTTTAACCGTAAGAAGTTATCAAACCGCGAAAATATCTTTTATAATAATAATGGGCAGAATAATACCCATTCAAGCCTGTAAATCAGGGACCGTGAACAAAAGGTATGATCAAAACAAAATGTTCTCGTAGTTTTGTTCCCAAGAACACTTCAAAACAAAAAAAAAACATCAAAACAGAGAAAACTGTCGAGCACGTTCGGAATGGGAATTATATAAGAACAAACCCGTTTGGAACGTTTCCAAAGAGAACAAAATGCGAACAATACTTTCGGGAACATTTTGAAAAAGAACAAAAGTCTATGGAACTTTCTCTTGAAGAATAATTTGGGAACTAAAGTCTCAAAAACTTTCTGACAGAGAACGAAACGGAAACAAATCTTCTCTGAACTATACGTGAAGAAATGAAGCAAGAACAAAATTGTTCACATAGCATTCATTAGCTTGAAAATGCTTGAATATTAAAATTAATCAAAAAAGAACTTTTCCTTTCCTTTTCGGCTGATAGTCACTTTGCCGCCTATAAGCAACAACAAAACATTCCTGAACAAAAACATATTGCGTTGGCCAATATATTAGGTTACGATACGTTAATTAAGTCTCGGCTAACTGAGCCTTAAGTCAACGAAAGGATTAAGACACGAACTTTTCTTGAACGAAAATTAAAATATTAAATCATAAATATGCAGTTCACCCTAATGATAAACGATGTGGAAGTTTAGATTATCCATACTTCCTCTGGCTAAGAATTAACAATCGTGGTTCTCATTGATACGATATAACATTCCAACACGCAGACTCGTCTCTTTCTCTCTCATAACGTTAAGTTCACGAAGCTTTTGTTCTTGATTTGTTATCTAGCCAGTGTTCCCTAAAACTTTGTTCATATTTAATCTTCCTTTAAAATGTTCTCCATACTTTCGTTTTCATTGAAAACGTTGCCGAAAGTTTCGTTCTCATTATGTTCTTCTTGAGAACGTTACCGACAGTTTTGTTCGCATTTTGTTCTTTACGGAAACGTTCCCAAACCATTTGTTCTAATTTTTTTTCCCGTCAGAACTTTTCTTCCCGTTTGGTTCTTTTGTGGGAACGTTCTTGACATTACATTTTGTTCTCATGAAGAACTAAACCAGAATTGGAAGGCGTTTCCGGTCGCTGCTTTAAATAACCGAGTAATACCGAGTAAATTGGTCCAATTCCAGGCTCTGCCTTAAGCCAACTTCGGTGATAATGCTTTGGGGTGGCGCTCTGCTCTTAAGAAAAACTGTGAGGAACCTTCCAAAACTTTGTGAAATCAAGGATCAATTATAAACATAACTACGGACTAAGTACCCAAACTCAGATTCCATGGACACATATATTTCGGAATATACATCCCACCTCCTATTGTCCAGCGGCCATAACAGAAAAAAGGCGGTTAAGGTAGCTTTTAGGTTGGACTTAACAAGTAGTTTCGAGAATACCTATGCACATTTCTGGCTTACCGTAGACGAAAGAAGAATCAGACAAACATCGATCAATGAAGTCCTGTAGGCACTTCAAACCCAAATACAAACCTGTAAATACTTTAGCTGGCAACTGAAGTTGGTGATAGCCGATGATTCAGTAAGGGAGTCCTCGCAAACGAAAAAGTTTCGTGGTCTTGACTTACGTCTATGTGGATAGACGTTAAATCCTTCTTAAACCATACCCCAACTTCATTCCTCTGGCATCTTAGGAATTTTACGCCATCTTTATTTTATTAAGTTTCATTACTATTATTACACTACCTAACAGAACTGAAAAACTGTGGAATCATTTAAAATTTTAATCATGAACTATTTACAAGTAGGATTTCATTCATTTTCCTTTGGTCTGGTAGTGTGGCTTATATTTTTTTTCAATCTACAATCATTCAAAAAAAATAATTGATTTCACACAGTAAGGTAGTAAATACCTGAATGAAAAACTGAGAATGCTGAAGTAAACAGAATTCAATACTGAATTAGCTTCGAGATGATTGAACACTTTGCTATGTGTGCATTCTGCAATTCAGTTCCAATCAAATTTTATACACTAAGAAAAATATGTAAGTTTAGATGATGGAATAATGAGGTGTATGAACTTTAAAACGATATTGACATAGTGTCGCGTATCAATGCACAGCGGCCACGCTGGCTAACTGGCTAACCTAATATTCACGCACGCCGCCAATTTACTGTCAAAAATTTCTCATGCACATACAACTTGTATGGGACCAACCGAAATTGAACGGCGTGCGTATGAAGCTAATCAATTTCCAATTTTTGTTCTGCGTGACATTTTGATTTGACGTTTCGCTCAATGAAATCAAATGCAAACGCGCGTAAGCCAATTTCGGGTGACGCAAAAAAACAAATTCGACGGCGTGCGTACCAAAACGCAAGCCGCGAATATTAGGTTAGCCTGTAAGCCATTTCCTACGAATGAATGGTTGTGCTTGGACTCCTCCACGCATGAAACGCAGCTTGATTCACATGAACATATTGTACAAATTTATAGTTTTGGTTGTTTAAAAACTGAGTGCAAAATGTTCCAAGGCAATTAGTATCTATAATTATTTTTTTTTCTTTTAATGATTGGAAAATCTGCAGAACATGAAATAATCAAGCATAACAACCATCAAATGATGGCAGCTTTTATCATTCAGTCCATGGTTTATCCACATACATACATATAATGTGCTTTTTTTAAATACATATGTATGTGCCCATTTTCGCGCGGCACCCTTTATGATCAGTTTTTATTTGTAAAGAACGATATTCTCATTTCCCAATAGCAGGCGCTCATGCATGTGAAGTAACCCACCAAACAATTTTTGTTGCCGGCAATAAGAAAACGTTTCGCCCTCGGTAACAAATTTATTGCCGGTAATATTGCCATCGTGTCGATTTCCTATTACCGGTCGCTCTAAAACGTCCGCCGAAGGCAACTCGCCTGGGCGAGTCGTTTTCTTATTACCTGAATGAGTCATTTTCTTATCGCTTCAGGCGATATTTGGAATAATTGTATTCTTTTTAATACTTCAATCATTTTTTGTATACAAAATTGGAACTTATATAGAAACAGAAATAATTCTTTCTTTCCCTATGGGGCTTCCTATTTTTTCAATTCTGTCCCTGGTAAAAATTAGACGATTTTGGATAATACTATCAACGCGAAATTTATAAGTTTAGGAATTTTTGATAACTTATTTATTCCAAAGTTGACATGAAAGAAATGTTGTTGCCGACTTGTCACCACTGCAATAAACCGGTGAGTCGCCAATTTGTTGCCATTGACGATTGTTGCCTATTTCTCATGTTTTCCATGTGAAGTAACAAGTTTTCTATTTCTACGCATGATACAAAAAAGAAGGTAGTTTCAATAAACAAGTTTTGACGGATAATAAAATTTTTTGAAGTTTCATAAATTGTCAGTATTATCAACGGCCTTGCCACTTTGATAATATTAAAACAATACATCGGAGTATTTTCTTTCCCATATTTTTACCAATGTGAGAATATTTTAAATCAAAACTCACAATCAGTACTTGATATTTTTTTACTTACGTGGTTTGCCCCTCTTTTATTAAAAATATATAAAATGTAAACTGTTACATTGTAATTATTCTTTTTATTTTATAATAAAAACCATTAGTGCATTATGTTGTTATTTTTTTCATTTTCTTATTTTGATATACAATTTTCGTTTCTTTAATCTTGCGATTTAAAAATCGAATTCTAAAGAATGTTCTTCCCAAATAAAATCTTTTTATAATATTTTGGTCCAAATTTACTTTTAAATTTCTCAATTAAATTAAATTTCGAATCACCATTAATTTCAACAAATTTTGAATTCAAAATTTCCAATGTATGCAAAAAACTTGAATTAGGCTTGTACAGACCGCCCTCCGATAAACAGTTAACATACGTATAATTTTGATCACTTTCTACATGCGTCCTGAAGCCTAGTTTTGTCAACCCCATTTTCGAAATTATGTAGCCGGCAAAATTTTCAAGTCCATCATATTCCACATCTTTGAGTGGACTGATGAAATCTTCTGCTTCATGCTCTTCTGCGAGCTACTTAAAAAAATTAGAAATCAAATAAAAACGAAAGGGTAAGGAGTTTACCTCGAGTTCTTCTTCTGCGGATATTTCAATATCGTTAAGTGGTTTGAAAACATTTTCACTGAGCAACTCCTCTTCAAATTTTAACATTACTTCACTTGAAGACTCAACATTTGTTTCCGTGCTCAAAATAGTTTCGTTTCGCCCTAATAAAGTTCATGCATACATTTTAGAATCTTTATGACAACAACAATAATTTCTTTAAGTGGTTAAAAAATTACCTAGAAGGTATGATCGAAATCTGTACTTGAATTCGAGAGGTGACGGATGGTCATGCAGCCCTCCTTTCATATATGTTCAATAACTTCACTAAACTTCACTCATTTTCATACATTTTTGTTTACTTTTACAAAAAAAAAAATATTATCTCTGGTGATCAGGTAGCATGAATTTTATGAAATGTCATAATTTTATTAAAAGTCAAATGGTTAGCAACAACAACGAATGTCATTAAATGGAACTACCTTCTTTTTTGTATCATGTTTCTACGTACAAAATTGTTTGTATAAATTTTAAATTTCCAAAATTCTACTTTGTACAGTTCAAAGGCTTCTACAAAAAAAATTTATTTAAATGTTCTACAAACAAATTTATGCATATAGAAAGCTTGCTACTTCATATGTCTGAGAAATAATGTATTGAGAAATAAAAATATCTCTTTGCACAAATAAAAATTTAGTTCGTTAAATAAAATTGACCGCAAGTTTCCTTCAAAAACATGCAGTTGGTTTTAAACAGCATTAACAGAATATCCAAAGCTGGTACGTACTTTTGGTCTTGGGTAATGCTTTACCAAATTGTAGCAGTAGTAGAAAAGCAGAAGTAAAACGACTATTTTTTCCTATAAATATTTTCTTCAAGGCATATTTTTTCAGTGTAATACTGAATGATCAAAACTGTTTGCCTTCAACCAAAATTTACAATTACGATGATTGCGAATACTTTTGTTACATTCACATTCTATACTGAATGGAACTCTGCCATTCAACAACACATTACGTTTGTTTTTGTTTCAAAATTAAATAATTTGAGCCACTCAGCAAAGAGGTTTTTTTTATACAGCCAATCAAAATTTTGAAACGAGTGCCAAGTGAATGCAGACCCTACTGATTCAATCATTCTACAGTTCTGCTACTTAAGTACAGAGACCATAATTATTAGGAAGTAGTATATGTGCTACACACTTCGGTACATATCCATAATTTATGCCCACGTAGTGAAACAAAAGTTATTTTTCAATGAAAATAGAAACCATCATTTAGTTCTTTATTAACATTTGCATTCTCAAGGAGTCCCGGGTGCATCTAAAAATTAAGTTACACATATACCACATAGTTGCACCACTACTGATATGCGAACGTTAACGATATCAAAAAAAAGACAATTTTCATAATTATCGCCAAAATGTTTGCATTTTTCTTCTACAAGCCCCTTGCTTTATTTACTTACACAGCTTGCATACTTTTTTCACGCTGAAACCATAGCCATCGACAAATTGGCGAGGTCGGAGGTTGTGTATAAATTGGGTAATACGGGCGTTGCTCTCTCCTCCTTTAAATTCCTTAGCAGCATCAACCTGTGCAAATCAAATCACAAATAACCCCTACCAACTATTTGTATCTCATCATGTACTAACATCTAATAAAGGCTTTAAGCTTCCTTTTAGCATAACGTCCTGCACAAGGAGTAATGGCATAAGTCTTGCAAGCCATTTCGCTTCACGCACGCGCAGGTACAATGCATCCCACAGAGTATACCGCGTGGGCGATCGTATGTTGGTCCTGCACCGAGCAAAGAGAATACAAGACAGTCATAAATACAAAATACGGAATATTTTTTTATCAAATATGTATGTGTGTATGTCAACCACCACCACACCACCATGATGCCCGCACACAATACCAATATCAAGATGGGTTTCAAGCCTCCGTGGTATTCACCTTGATAGATTTGCGCGCATCAAGGTAAATTCGTCATGAAACTCACCTTGATAATAGTAAATCGGCGTTTAGCTGTTGCTTAGTTAATTGCCTCTTGGTTTCGCATATTTCAATTGAATTTCAAAAATTATAAATCAAAAATGTCAGACTAGACTTGTAATAGAACTTTAACACGACGGGCCACAAGGATTGCAAGGTGGACATGGTCCACATGGTGCGCACGGCACTTGTGGACCGCACGGCCCGCATGGACCGCACTGAGTATTCCACGGTGTCGGCGCGCATGGATAGCAGGTGCCACACTCAGGCGCTTCGTAGGGGCATCCCGGCATACAAGGTCTGCAGGAACCGCACGGTCCACTGGGCCCAGCACCAATGCTGCACGGATTACATGGCGGTGGTACATATGGTCCCGAAGGCATTGTCAAACCACATGGTCCACAATTCGGTATACAACAGGGGCGGCAAGGTCCGCACGGATTACACGGCCCACAGGGCGAACAGGGGCTACCGCACGGTCCGCAGGGCCCACATGGTCCGCAAGACCGCCAACAAGGATGGCATGGATCGCACATTTTTTGAAGATGTTTTTGTTTTCGAATTTCTGCAAATTAAGAAAAAAGGGAAGTATTTTGTTATGCGTTTGTGTTTAGAGATGGCGCGGCCACCGATGCTACTTACTTTTAAAGTGGTCTTAAGAAGAAAAGGTCACAGACAATTTGGAAGTGTGTCGTTGAAAAATTTTGAAATGAATGAAAAAATTTGAAAGATGGAGTTTTTCTGATTAAATTTGGCGTGTTAATGTTGATCGTGTGTGAATTGTTTGGAACAAGTATACGATGGATGTATGGAAAAGAGTCCCTGGCATGATACCCCTGGTCCCTGGTATTGATTTGCTAAAAGCTTTCTGGCGCCATCACGGCTTTGACTCGCATAGTGCAAGAAATTTCCGAAAAAAAAAAAATTGTGTGACTTTTTGACGCAAACGACTTTTGTTCATATTCGATTCTCCTTAAAAACGTTCTCGATTCTTTCGTTCCCATTTTGTTCTCGTTGGAAACGTTCCCGAAAGTTTCTTTCTCATTCTGTTCTTCTTAACACCGTTCTCGAGATTTGTTCGCATTTTGTTCTTTACGGAAACCTTTTCGAACCTTTGTTTTAGTTTGGTTCCTGTTCAAACTACTTTCAATACTTTTGTTCTCGTTTGGTTCTTTTGTGGGATCGTTCTTGACATTACACTGTGTTCTTGTTAACCAAAACTGGAAAACTGTTCTCGGTCACTGCAGAGAAGTCATTGCTGAATAGGTCCCCATCAACTACTGAAACCTTGCTTACATAGTCTGACTATACTGCTTCTACCCACTAGAAGCTTTCGATAGCGCATTTGAGAATATCGTTCCACGCTGTGTTCAACCGTTCACATTCGGCCTGAGAACAAACACCCCTATTACGAGTGCCGACTAGTAGTAGATAAACGACTGTTAGTCGATTATCGATTATCCGTGGTATTTTCAAAGACGGTTTCTCGTTCAATAAGTACATGTGCATAGTTTGTACTCGCTCATCCTTCTACAAACAAACAGTTGTAGAAAAATGTGCGATAAAAAACTATTCGCAGTCGCTTATTGAACGAGAAAACGACATTCACAATACCATGGAAAAGCGATAATCGAATAAGAGTCGTTTATCTACTACTAGTCGACACTCGCAATAGGGATGAAATATTCGCAAAATTATAAAGTAAAAGAAAAAAGCTAGCCTTTTTTTGTTTTGCATATTAAATTATGGGAATGATTTATTCACATGGAATTGGCGTTGAGGCTGATTATTAGTCTTGAATTTACCCTTTTTTTTTAACCTAAGAACGAAATACCTCAGAACGGTTAATTCTCAACCAACTAAAACCGCTAGACATGTATAGTGCTCCTCAAGTCCACCAACAAAATCACGAGGTTGTAGAGTTTTAATAAAATTACCCACTACCAAGCTTTTATTAAAAAACAGAAAAACAAAAAATTTCGAAAGTTTGTCAAAGTACATTTACGTGAAAAGGATGTCTCGCAAAAACCGTTATGAAACTCCTCACTTGATTTTTTTTTTTTCTGGCTCTCTTTTTGTTTTTAGTGTATTTTTTTTTTTTCTTTGTTGCATACACACATTTGAGTTTGAGTGTCGTGTATTCTCTTCTTCTTTGTAATTGTGGAATTCTTCACTGCATGGGACTGTGATGTCCAAATCGTTTCCGTTTGAGGGAGACACATTCAAGTATCAACAGATTGTTGCCGTTTACTTATATCCTTTTTCATTCGTAGAAGTAATCTGCCTTAGCTTCCTTTCAAAGAATATTCAAAAACCACCTGTTTGAAGAGAAAGAAAATAGAAAGCAATCGTTAGTGTATTGCTGCAATAACTATGTACTTAGAAAATACTAGGAAGCTCTGAATTAAGGGGGGGGAAAAGTTAGCGAGTAGCATGGGTGGCGAGTTTTGGATTGGGTTGGTTTATTGCAAGTAGAAAAATTGTTAGATTTTCATTAAAAAATCAAATTAAATTTAAAACAACCGTCTCGCATTCACACGCATCTTCAACTGACTGCCAGAGAGGCGAGATACTTTGGTATACAAAACTAAGCTGCAATCTGTGCATTCTGTTGTATGATTATTACGTACGAGTACCACGAAACTCCTTCACTTTTACGGCTGCGCGAGTAGCTTGATGATATACTAGACTGCTTAGAGTTTATTTGCATGAGCGCATTGTTTTGCGAGGCAATAGTATATTGTTATACCGTTACCGCTAACTCCTATTACACGTAAACCCGGTGGTACTTTGCCTTTATGGAGGAAATAAAATTTCCGTAGGAAGGTACTAGTACGGGGCCACAATTTCCTTTTAGCTAGAGAGGAAATCCCACTCTGAATTCGAAGAAAATTAAGAATCCTCTGAGCTCCTACCGATCCCACTTAGTCGTTAGTGTGCACATAGTTTCTTTTAACCCATCAACTTTTTATACTTACATGGATATGTAGGCGGCGTATTATTACAATTCCACACACATGGATTTGGGACGCCAGCTTCCACGATTGGTGGACAATAGCCAGGTGCCGGTGGACATGGTATTGGTGCCGGTGCTCCACATGGTGGATTCGATGGGCCACAACAAGCAGTATCACAACACGGAGAACATGACGGACCACAAGGTCCACAGGGGCCACAGGGTTCACAGGGGCCACATGGTGGACAACAGCCGCCGCAGGCTTGCGCACATAGCGCAGCGGTTTCCTTGCAACGCATTCGTCTATTGTTTTCACCCATCGTCTTGTTGGCGTAGCGCAGGGGAAACGACGCTGGACAGCAATTCGGAACGGGGAAGCTCATACAAGCAGCTCGACCCTGGCAAAGTGATCGTGGGCATCTGTCTTGTAAGCCATTTCTCTTGATACAATCGCAGGTAGTGTACATAATTCCACAACGTAATTCACGACTTCGACACGCTTTAGGCTATATAATGTGTAAAGGAGGGAGAGGAAAAACAAAAAGGAAACGTGGAATAGTGTGGGCAGTGTGCGGGGAAGAGAAGAGAACAAAATGCACTCATTAGACTGGTGGTGGTGAGCATGCTGTAATCGTAACCTTGACTGGCGCAAACCATATCAAGGCGGGTTTCACGATTTAGAATCCACCTTGATAGGTTTGCGCACATCAAGGTAAATCCGACATGAAACTCACCTTGATAATGGCTATTTGTTGAAGGTTCTGATCCAAAGAGGTGCCTAATTTATGTGGGTTAAAATTTTTATATGCACTTATGTGTATCTAAATTTGATTTCTTAAAAACATTCGTCTTAATACTAGTTCGTCTTAATGCTACTTCTACTACAGTTTGTTAGATTTTGATCTTGTTGAATGTAAATATGCCAAATGGCGTGCAAAGTGCTGAGGGCCCGCAAGGCGCGTTTGTCATTGGCGAGCACGGAAAAACCGTTTCATCTTCGACCGTCTCGTATGGAGCTACGGGCATTGCGGGACCACAGCCACCTCCTCCACCGGGACCAGCGCAGACAGGTGGCATACCACAAGGTCCACAAGGTGCACAATTTGGTACGAAGCAAGAAGTACCGCAAGGTCCGCACGGGCCACAAGGGCCGCAAGGTCCGCGACACGGCGAACAAGGTCCACAAGGGCCGCAAGGACCCGACGGCTTGCACGGGAAACATCCGTTGGGTTCGCATATCGGATATTGATTGGTTGAAAAGCATGGCAATGGACCGCACGGTCCGCACGGTGAACACGGTCCCATCGGGCATGGTGGGCATGCTGCGCTCGGTTTATAGTTAATCGGTCCAGTTGGATAGCAGCAATATTCCCGTGGCGGCGGTATATCAATTGTTTGCGGCTTCGGCTGGCACAATATGGCTTGGCACACTTCACGCGGCTCGCAAATACGTTTCGGATAGCAAACCACGTAGGGATCTGGCACCATTGATGGATAGTAGATGACCCTTGGCTCACGGACCATCTGTGAGACCCAAGTCAGCTTAGGTACTTTGATGACACGTGTTGTATCCACAACTTTGGGTATGGTTATCTGTCTGCAACGATTCACAACCATCGGTTCCGGTACGATTTTCTCATTGAAAACGACACGCTTGCGGCAGATGAGCCGCGGTGGTTGCTGTACTGTAATACATTTCGGGCAGGGCGGTGGGACGCGTGGCGCGCACTGCGGCAGCGCGTCCAAGTGGGCGCCTGTATAACATTTTGGCGAGCACTGCACACACGCAAGGAGATCCAATTTAATTTTGACGCAGACGTCGGTTGAGCCGCAATTTTTTTGCCAAATTCAATTTTAAGGGCGGCGATTATTATCGATAATGATTCCCAGTTTTTCAAGTATTTTCAAATTGATATTATTGTTGGTGGTGATTTTATTGTCGTTGCCGTTTTTGGTTGTTGGGTGAAAGGAGCGAAAATGTGAAATTTCTGTTTGCTACATAAATTCATGGCAAAAAATATGCAAAGGTTTGTGCCGACGCTTTGGCGACATAACCGCTACTTACCTCAAATGGTGCACAGCATGGATCGCAGGGGCCACAGGGCCCACACGGCCCACACGGGCCACATGGGCCGCAAGCCGGAGGACACGGTCCGCAGGGAGAGCAGCAAGGGTCGCACATTTTGAGACGTGTTTTTAAATTTCTATAAGTGATGAAAGTAAACAATGTAATTGGTGTTGGTGTTGTGCTGGACCACGGTGGTGGTCGTCGTAATCCGTGGCTAATCCAATTAATTATACGTACTTTTTAACTTTTTAAAGAAAATTAGTTCGCTTGAAATTTAGATACAGCTGGAAACAGGCTGGAAATTTAGAAATGAATGAAAATTTTTTGATTGAAAAGTTTGAAGGTTTATTGTTTTTGCCATGTCTACACGAACCGAAAGGATAGAGTGTTTTTCGAAGGAGGTGTTTGACTCTAGGAAGGAAAGTGTGTTACAAAATCTACAAGTAGCCACAACAGGTGGGTATCGGATTTAGTAGTTTCGTTGAAATTGTGGAAAAGAGTAGAAGTGCGGGGGAAAGGTAGAGATGTGTTTGAGCTTTAAGGCGTGTGCTGGTTTTTGGAAGCTGAGGTCATGGCCGCAGACTCTTAACGCCCTGCACCAACGACGCGCAATGGCCTGAGAGTGGCAGAAGGTCCTAATTACGAAATGTGTGGAAATATCACACTAAGTGGTTGACTCGAATTCTAGACATGTCTTTTAAAGAATTTTTCCTGGGAAAACCAACTCGAGCAATTGTCAACGGGCATAGGAAGTCGCTGTTGTATGAATCGAATTTTTACGAAAGATTTCGAATACGCATTTTTCGGGATGAGCAATTTTAGTTGAATGATCGATCGGAACTGGATTTATCTCCATCTTCAGTATTAAGCTCAATAGGTTGCAAGGGTGCCTCCAAATCAGGTTCTCATAATTTTTCGTAGTCCTTACAGAGTTAAGGCCGTTTCTGTGATATTTTGCATTTTTAGTGTTATTTTTTTTTGTTTAAGTAGATATAAATACCTTGCGGCGCCGTGCGGTGGAAGGTGATTTGTACAAAAATACTTTGTATACTTTAAACTAATAGCGAAACAAATTTCAGCTACGTCCGCTAGCGTCCATGTCATTAATCTTCCAATAAACGAAACTCAATTTTGCTGAAAATTGCTGTTTGAAACACTTTCACTAAGGAAAGAAAAAGCATGAAAACTGGTAAAAATTGGCAAACTGCCACGCCCGCTACACTAATGGGTGGATATGGTAAATGTTATCGGATTTCCATGAAATTCGGTTTTTAACTTGGATTAAACTAGGAAGACAAATGTAAATCTGACAGATGGTTAAAATCGGTCAAATTCCGCACCCACCAGCCATCCGAATTCTGAATTCAAATGTGGCGCGAACTAGTAACGGTCCCCTTTAAAATACCAACAATTTGGTGCAAGATTTACTTTTGTATAAAAGCACAGAAATATTAATAATAGGGTGGGTGCGTTGGCGACCAGTCACGGCGATAACATTTACCATATCCACCTCCTACTATAAGGGGCGTGGCAGTACGCTAAATTTTATCACTTTTCATATTTGTTCATTCCAAGGCAAAAGTACTCCACGTTAAAATTTTAGGCAAAATCGGATCACATTTCCTACTTTTTGCCACATTTTGTATGGGGCTCTTCCACTGTGCGCCGTGGTCTGAGCTAAAGTCGTTCTCTTCCCACTTGAGTCTGCTTGGGACGAAGACCATAAAGTGTTGTTAAAAAGTATGCTGCGGTAGGTATGTATCAACAAACCTGACGCGTAGTCCTTCTATCGGAAGGTTTGCTTATTAGCGCCTCGAAGGACGCGGTGGTCGTACTTGTCACTGGATGGTGACTCGGGAGGATAACCTTTTAATTTTGTTTTAGCTTAGACTGTGTAAATGAGTTTCCCGATTTTCTTCCACCAAGTTCGACGGAGAATATATATGCTGGAATGTATTTGTCAATGGTTTCGTACATCCAGATTGTCAGCCTAGGTTTAATGAAAAATTTTCTGCCCATTAGCTTTTGGGACCATGCCTTCTGTATATCTTAATCGAATTGGATTCCATGAGAGCTTAACGTTAAGGGTTCCAGCCAGATATTTGAATTATTGTACACTCTGCTCTCTTGAGTTCATACATATTTTTGGGTGAATATTCACCACACCATAAAAACTTCAACTACTTAAAAGTCGCTCTTTGAAGCTGATCACCATTGCGATCGATTGCGAAAGCCAGCTTCTTGCAAGTAAGTCATTATGCTGTTGGCTCAGTTCGTCTTCGTCTGCCGTTGCTAATAGTTCGAGTATTCGGGAAAAAAAATATACAGTGTGGTATAGTGAATATTTTAGGAAGTGCTTGATTGAGGTTAGGTGATAAGCTAAAGTGATTGAAAAAAAATGTATTTCGAAAGAGAACTTATCACATATTTGGGATAAATCTTAATAGGAAGCAGCATGTGAATGAATAGCATAAAAATTTTATGGAAAAAGTGTTGAAATTACCACAGAGAACAAAGGAATATTGCAAAGTCAACCAACTAAAAATTGAGTACAACCGGAAGTGACGTCACTGTTTCGAAATAAAAGTGCAATAGGCATAAATTCTAAGTTTTAAGGAAATATAACAGTAACACCAATGGCCAGTGATTAAAGAAGAGCATACTTTGAAAACAACAAACAAATTTAATTGGAATTTTAATTTAGCTTTTGGTTTTATCTGCAAAAAAAAAACAGTGTTGGAATAAAGATTACTTTTCAAAATATATATGCAGTACATGGTCATGTGCACCTGTAATTTATCTAATATTTATTCACGCCGCGTTTAGGTAATAAAAATGTGTTTCAAAATCTTTGAATTATTCTCAAAAACGTTCATCTCCTTTGCATTCGCTGGTAGAGTGAGTGAGTTGTTTTGAGATAAAGTCGTCTGTTTCACCAATAAAAAGTTCAAAGTGTTATCAATTATCAAAACTTAATAAAAAAATGTGAAACTAAAATATAAATTCGGCACTGGCCCATCGACGTCGCATCCGCTTTTCTGCGAGACTAACTTTTGATTGTCACCAATTTGAAATGTGTACAAATACATATTTTTGGGTGCTTCTTATCAGCTGGCATACATAGAAACATACTTATTTACCTACTTGCATGCATACATACATATGTACATATTTATGCTTTATTGCCACGAACAGCTGACTTCAGCTGCAAATGATTTTGAATGAATCCACTGCACGTAAATGTAAATACGCGAGTATATAAAATTAAAATAAAATAATAAGATAAAATTAATTATTCTTAACCCTATGCATGTGCTGTAAAGTCGTTGCATTTATACATATGCACATACATATGTATGTATGCCAGAGTGTTAATTTTCGAAGGCGCTTCTGTGTTTACAATTCGATTAAGAGACGACCGTAGCCTAGGTCAGTGCTTGATAGGCTGTATGTAATTCTTATCAATAAATGAAAAATTGTGTCAGTGGCGTTAAGTGAAAAGTGAATATGGTTTTTGAATGTGTGTGTGTAAAAGATTCCCACGCTTATCGCTAAGGAAGTGAAATCTACTACAAAACAGTATTAATAGAAATATATATGCAAAATAATTACAAGTACATAAATACATATGTACATATAGATGGATGTAAATAAAGGCCACTTAAGATGACGCGCAAAAATATAACGACAATAAAATTTAAATTTTCAACTAAAAAATTTATTTAGCATAAATCAAAGTCAAAAACAAAAATTAAGATAAAAATTCCGAAACCAGAATTTTAATGAAAATTTAAAATTTATGTAGACCCACATATTATTTTCGTAAAAACTTTTCTAACAAAATACTTATACTTTTTAGTGCAGCCCGTGTTGTGAATTCTTAAAAATGCAGTTCGATTTCGACTTATCCAATTTGTGAAATAAATATAAAAATCTTAGATAAAATAAATTTATGTGTTGATGCGCTGCATTCACCATTCAGTCGGGTGAATCAGAGTGGCATCGAAAATTAATTGAAACATGATTTTCAAATGGAACTCTATGCCTCGAAAATATTTCAATGGACTAAGCAACAGCAGCCTTTACATTATTGTGTGGCTGGCATTTTTGGCAGTCGAATTAACATCGCCAGTGGTAGCGGAGCCGAATGAAGGTAAATATTATTTTATTTTGGAAAATGTTTATATTATGTACAGTAGGGTGCCTCACCAAAAAAGGGAAAAAAGTGTTCTCCAGCGGAATTATAAAATTTATTATATTTTAAGACTTCCACCAAAACCCCCTTGAAAAAAACATCTCATTATAATGATTTGTTTTAAGCATTTTTGTGCGGAGCTTTCAAGATTAAAATCTTCCATCATCTGGCGTAACTTTTTGGTAAAAATATTTTTAATTTTATTTTATTCAGATGGAAAAACAGTATCGATTTTTGTTGTTTGGTGAGAAAATTGGGCGAGCATTTTTTGTAAATTGATAGTCATATCTCGGATAAAATTAGTTTTATCGGCACCATTGTAAAAAAGCACTAAAAGCCTCTTCTTTGCTAACGGTAAAAGTGTTCCGCTTTAAATTTTTAAAATTTGTCAAACTTTTTTTTCGGAATCGACTTGCAAAAATACCTCAATTTCGAAAGTGTACGGCGAACTTTTTTTCTGGTACGGTCTCATGTATACATACGGTGGCGAGAAAGTAACTTGGGAAGAGACATTTTAGCAAGTTCGGGCTATTTTTCTTTGGTTAAAAAATTTCTTGATTTGATACGAAAATATAGCTTGCTATTAAAAAAAAAAACATGTATATACATAAATTGAAATTTTAAATTTTGTATATTTATAAATATTCGACAAATTTTAACGAATTTTCATCAAAAATTTAAATTTTGTAATCATATTTAGAATTTTTGAGTCTGCAGTTTTGTAGGTTTTTAAATTTTCAAAAAAAAAAGTGCAAATTTGTAGTAGCTAGGACTTACCTTTGATTTTTGGCATTTTTTTGTTCACGCATTTTTGTTATTGAGCAACACATTCCACGAAAAAAAATTGCCAAAAATTAACGGTAAGTCGTTGCTACTTCTAACTTGCTCTTTATTAAACTAATGTTAAATGTGCTACAAAACTGCATACTCAGAATATTTCTAAAGGCAGTGTCACAGGATTGGACATTTGCCCAAAATTTGGTGCAAATCAATAGAAGCTCGCTATATTGTACCAATCCACTGCGGGTAATTTTACCCATTTTTGTGGCCAAATTAATTATGGCGGAACAAGTAGATTATTGAACAAAACATAATTTTTTTATTGATTTGTATTCAATTTCCCAAATTTTTGGGTGAAAAAAATCTTAACCCTTGACGACGGACGGGTCATAAGGGGTCACTTTTTAATTTGTGGTTTTATTGAAAAGGTTTGAATGCAGTTTTTTTTTTAAGATTTCCAAAAATTCCACGTAGTTACAAAAGCAATTTATAGAGTGGCTTATTTTAAAAAACATTGCAAAATTATTTTAATTTCACTTGAATAGCTGAATGCTCTGAATTTCCTAATTTGTCTGCTGAAAAGTTAAGAGGGGTAGCCTTTGCAGCAACAAAATTGTAAACAACATTTTAGTAGCAGCCATATGAAATGTCGATTAAATTCGAATAAAAATCCACGTAAAGGGTAAAGTAAACGCAAGGGAAAACGCCAAAGAATGCTAAAATGACTCTTCCTTATTTATAGTTTTGCCACTGTAAATATGTACATACACAGGTAGATAGTTCTTTAAACAATTATTTCCTGGAAAAAAAAAATTGAGAAATCTCTTAGCTGAAGTTCGCAGGAAAATAATCAATCCTGGATTAGCTTTCTGAAAGGAGAGAGATATCGGCCCATAAACCTCGCTGAATTCCTTTTGGCGAAGAGCTCTCCGTAGTCCAGAAACCAAAATTCTAATAAATCTTAACCATAAATTACCTATTTCAACAGTAGAAATGGATCTCGGAAATACACTGCAGCATAAAAAATCTGATTTAAATTCATTACTCGGCTTTTTACCCAACTCTAAACATACAAGCTGTCGCAAAAGTAAGGTCATATTGTGAATTGGCTACCATTTTGTTAGAAATGGAAAAGGTGAACTCGGTTTTTTTGAATAGTTTATTTGAAGATATTATAATCAATATAACATTAAGTTAAAATTATATCACTCGAATGCAAAGGTGGCCATTTCATAGGCACGCGTGCCAAATTTTTCTCTTCTGCTTTCACACGTTCACGAGAAAAACACGCACTGCACTGCTTAAACACATTCATGTGCATACTCTATGAATCAGTGATGCCGACGATTATAATTTTGCTTTGATCGTGCTCAATCGATGCGAAACTTTCAAGAAATCAAGTCGCTGCAAGACACGGTAAAAATGCTTTATATGGATTCCGATATAGATTTTTTACTCACTAGTAATGGGAAGGGAGGGCACAATGTTTGGTGTGTCATGAAGAAATCGGACGGACGACAAACATTTTTGTTAAGCGCCATTATAGCGCCATTTCTCCTTATTCCCAAATATTGAACTGAATAGAAAAGATGAATTTAAAATAATGCTAAAAAATCCCTTTTATTTTAATCCAAAATAAGAAGATTAATGCAAGTTAATTCAACTATTTGCTTTAATTTTACTTTTAATTGTATTAAAAAATCTAACCAAGCAATGAAAGCGAATTAAATTATATTAAAAGGTTAATTCTTTAATATTATATCTACCTTTCACACTATTTAAAAAATAAAAATAAAAATCCCTTTTTCTTATAATTTACAACTCGAAATCGTTGACAACACTGTTTGCGTCAGACACATGAGCGAATTATTCTCTTCATTCTCTTATCGTTTAGCAAAATTAAAATGTATGATTGTGTGAGTTTTGGCCACCTCTGCTCTAATGACAACCCCCGGAGTTGATGCACAATCGTGCTCGTTTTACGGCATTTTGGATTGTTGCTCGCAAGACTTGCAAGGTTTGTGGTTTTTTGTGGTAAACACGAGATATATAAAAGGCCCAAAGGAAGAAGTCTGGCGCAGTTAGATCTGACGAACTAGACGGCGAAATTGGTGTCTCAAAAATATCCATCGTTGTCCGAGCTGTGTGAGCGGTTGCTCCGTCCCGCAGTTCAGTAACTTGCGGCAAAGAAACTCATTAAACATCTGCCTACAATGCTCAGCAGTTAGGGTTACGGTGGTGCCATCGGCGTCCTCAAAAAAATAAGGGCCAATCACTTTTTCACTGCAACTGGCAGACCGGCCACTTCTTGCGACATCTGAAGTGGACCTAGTTTGCACGAGGCACTAAGCCAAACGCTTAATTGTTCGTGCACATCGAACACAATAATTCCACGTCCTTCGGGTGTGTATCGCTCTGTGGCTAGTTGTCAGGTATATCTCTATCTGCCTACAACATAGATGTCAAAGAACAATGACCTTTTGCCAACGTTAAGGCACATTCACATTATGACATTAGTGTAGCGCCACCTTGTATATGTACATTAGAGTGATCCAAAAAAAATTTCCCGAGATAGGGTTCGGAACACCTTCTAAGTATAAATTTAAAGGATGCTCATGAAATGTTTTTATTTTACTCTAGAAGTATATTGTACATATCGACACCTCCAAACCATACCATGCTAAGTCGCCTTTGACTTAGTCAGCCTTAGCATAGTATGGTTTGGAGGCGTCGATATGTTTATTAACCAAACATTTTGTTAAGACCATTACAAATTTAAATTAGTTGGCAACACTAGCATTTTATAAAAACCATCAATATTTTGGTTAGTTTCAAAGGGATTCAGTAGCGCATTTCAAAGTCATTGAGCTCAGGCATTGAGTTTACAGTAAAAGATTTAAAGTTGGTATAGATATTAGAAATACCAGAAACAAAAAAAAAAAAAACCGTTTTCTACAATGATATTTTTTCCCTCCATACAAAACTTGGACCACTCTACTGTACATAGGTATGCCTTTCGGTAAATAATATAACACACTGAATTCGCTAAGGCTGTCTTACAACCAATTTCGTTTCAAAAATAGCTTCCGCCTTTTGTGAATCGAGTTTTTTTACCCTTTTCGATCCCCCAAATATTTTCGCACCTTAACCCTTTGTTTACCGCGAAAAAAACTACCATTACCTACCGTTCGAGTCGATTGGAACCCTATGTAAATAATAATGTGGGTCCATCAGATATTGATATATCATTCGGGCTCATTGCACCCGGCCGGTAGACAAAGGGTTAAGGAAGTAGAATTTTTTCCTAGTTTTTGAACAAATTTTTTAGGCAACCTTACTTAGCTTATAAGTGGTGATGTTTGGAGCTTTTACTACCAGCTTATTAGAATAAAGCGCAGTGCATTATATTATTTTAGCACTCAGTGGCATTTTAAAAATAAAATTGCAAAAATTAGAGATTATCTGTGTAATTCGTGCAGCCTAAATTACAAAGCGAAATAAAGCAATTTCCGAATCAATTCATATTTCCTATAATTGTAATATTGCCATTCATAACTCAACCCAAATCATATGCAGAGATATACATATGTACATATATGTATTTATATACCCATGTATGTATGTATACTACATATGTATGCATACAATAATATTCGAGAGCCATTAAAAAGCGGCAAACTTTTATCGGCAGCACAGAGACAAATCATTTGTGCTTAATTATCCAAACAGACTATGGCTACACACACAAATGTAACGACATGGCAATATCGCAATCTACAATCGCCAAAGTGTTAAAATTGTGTGCAATGAACTGAATGAGGCGTTTTTTTTTTTTATAAATTCATATCAGTCATAAAATTTTTTTTTTTATATACTATTTGATGTCGGACATGCGACCAAATGTGTCAACTGAAAATTTTGCCATGCGATGACGTTGACTGCAACTATCTTGTTGACTGCTTAAAGTGCATAAATGTATCGCCGCCATCTATGTTGCGTCGAGTGAGAAAAAGTTTTACAAAGTATCTGTCAAATTGTGAAAACCATTAGTAGCCTTCTTCAATTGAACTTCTCTCCTTTCGAGCAACCTCATGCACTCGAACGACAAAAACACAAAAAAAAAATAAAATAATGCAAATAATGCATGCTCCGCATTGTTGTTCTTATCGATCGAATTGACTTTTTCAATTCCTTACGTTCGTTCGCATTCGACTAATCACTGTCAGTGCTTTCTGTTATGGCAAATGGCAAATGTGTAGAATCTTCTTACGCGCCACAGATTTTTGTATGCCAATGACCAATTGGTTTGGCATTGACGTCACTGATCGTTTGCTACAAGAGGCGCTGAAGGTCGTCGAACGTGATCCATTTTGTCTATGCATCTGAGGTAGGGATTTATCAAAGAGGAGATCGTTAATTAAATAGCGTTTTTTTTTTTATCAAATACCCTGAAAGCTGCGAGACAGCCAGGTGGCCGGCTCGTAAAGACGCGCGAGTTTGAAAGTATTAGTTTGCTCTCTGTGACGTCTTTGCGGTGCATGTTGCACTGCGCGAATAAATGTTTAGTCCCAAATGAGTATTAGGTTCGTAGTTGTTTACCTTTTTTTCTGTAAATTACAAAAGTAGACTTGATTTTTTCAAATTCATGGATATGTTTTAGTCTTTGTCCTACTTGTTTATCGAATTCCCCCTTGAAAAGAACACACGCAACTTAGTTGCATCGGCCATTCAACCGACCTAAGTTGCCTTCTCGTTGTTCAGAAGATAATTTAAGAAATGCTACGAACTTTCTTCCATTTGTTAATCCGCACACATCCTCCTTTCAGATGGCTTTGTTGACTTGATTCGCGAATTCGGACTGTCTGACCTACCACCAGGCATCCTCGGTGTACCGGGCATGTGTGGCGCCGAACGTAACCCCTATCAGGTAAACAATGCGCCAGCCTACCGCATCTCCAAGGACGCCATACTAACCGTGCAAACTGCGCAATCCTTCCCTAATGGCTTCCCTACGGACTTTTCAATCATTTTGGCTTTGCGCAGCAATCAAACGAATCCAACGAAAGCGCCAGTCTTTACCATCTACTCGGACGAAAGTGAGGAGGTGCTCTCACTCAGCCTAGGCAAGGAGATTAGTCTCATTTATGAACAATCCGATGCAACATTCAATCAACGTAACACCATTAATTTTGGCATTGGCATTAGTGACACGAATTGGCATCGCATCGGTGTGAGTGTGAAAGGAAGGGCGGCAACCTTGGTGGTGGATTGCACAAAGCAGGTGACGCGCCGGCTAGAACGTTCTCGTGGCAGTAGTATTGCTACAAATGGGCTAATACTTACCGGCGTACAAATGACAAACGATGAAGGATTTTTCACTGGCGATGTGCAATTGATGGCTATTGTAAATAGTCCGGAGGCCGGCTACGAAGTTTGCACGAAGTATGCGACACCTTGCTTGCAACAGGGAAGCGTTACAGTGCAGAGGTTTGTTGACAATGGGGTTGGTGGAGGTGAGGCGGGTGGCAGTTGGTCATGGTCTTCGAGTAGCAGCAGCAGTAACAGCGGTGGAGGTGGTGCGCAAGGCGTAGATTTGAGCAGAGTTGCGCTTGGCCTTGGTGACGTTGGCGGAGGAGTAGTTAGAGGTGCCACAGGTGTAGCCAGCAACTCACAAGCAAATGCGCCAAATTTTCAATTTACAAATTCCCATATGAGTGAAACTAGGTCACTGGTGGACGGCGGCAGCCTAGCTGGAAATCTTCAAAGTAGCGAAGCCCGACGTGGTCAAGAGCCCGGAGTTTATGGTGCTGATGGTAATGCTGCTAATGGATTTGCACTCCTCGGAAATCGTGTTGCAGCGGGTGATGGTTCTGGTAGTGCCAGTGCTGCTCTTCCGAATTGGTCAATCGAGGGCAATGAGCGAGATTTCGACGATTATATCATAGAGGGTAACGAAAGTATAGACTTCAATACGTACGTAGACCTAACGACGCCTCCGAATGTCGAAACAAGCAACAGCAACGAAACGAACAGCAATATAGACAGCAATCAAAAAGAGATTGGCGTCAACTCGACTGCGGCGGATACAACAGGTGTTAATCGAAAGCCACAAAAGCGTCCTAATGGAGGCATCCAAGGGAATGCCACAGATCCGAGTTATGTCATCAGCGGCGGTAATACAATCTGCTATCCCGGTCCAAGAGGATATACGGGCACTCCGGGCCCCCCGGGAGAGCTAGGCTCAAAAGGTGAAGCTGGTCGTGATGGTTTAGCTGGCACTGCAGGTATACAGGGACCACCTGGGCACGTTTTTGTAGTTCCTGTAAGTCGCATTATATTCGACCAAATATTGTAAAAAAAAAATCGCAATTATTGTCGTTACAGTCTACTCAAGGTGGTAGTGAGAAGGGACCAGATTCTCAAGCGGAGGCCTTACGGCAGATGATTTCCCAGCATATGGCAAGTATTCGCAAGCATTGCATTTCAAGTAACGTTTTTACACCTTTACTGTTACCAGATGGCTTTACGCGGTCCCGAAGGTCCTATGGGTCTTACAGGACTTCCCGGTCCACCCGGCCAGCCTGGTCAGCGTGGCGACAAGGGCGAGCCTGGCGACGTTGGCGAACCGGTAATTAAATTTTTCAAATCTCTTCTCATTTTACGTATTGACCTAACGTTTAGAATATTTACCTTCGACAGGGCTTACGCGGTCTGCGCGGTCCCGCCGGCCCACCCGGTCGAGATGGAAGACGTGGCCGTTCGGGAAGAGATGGCGAACGTGGTGCCGTAGGGCCGCAAGGATCGAAAGGTGAAATTGGACCAATGGGCCCCATTGGTTTGCCGGGTGAAAAGGGGCATCGTGGGTTGCATGGTCTGACCGGTGAAAAAGGCCAGCAGGGTGTTGAAGGTCAACCGGGGGAAGAAGGCCCGCCTGGTTTGCCCGGCTTGCCAGGCGAATTGGTAAGCTCTTGGAAATATAAGCCCAGCTTGAAATTAAGACCTATTTTTTTCTAGGGACCTCGTGGTTTTCCAGGTCCGCGCGGCTTTCCAGGCCCTGCTGGTAATCCAGGCTTACAAGGAGCAGATGGACCACAGGGTACCAAAGGTAGCGCTGGTTTAACGGGGCCACCTGGCCCTCCAGGGCAGGTCGGAGCAAATGGCGCACCAGGTGCCCCTGGTCCACAAGGCAACCTCGGCCCACCTGGAGTAGCTGGACCACCTGGAAAACCTGGCCTTCCTGGATTGCCTGGAGCGGATGGGGCACCAGGGCATGCAGGTACACCAGGCTCCATTGGGCCAAAAGGTGATCAAGGTATGCAAGGTGTTCAGGGGCCCGTCGGTTTTCCCGGCCCTCGGGGTCTCAAAGGTGATGATGGCCAACGCGGTTCACCAGGTGACAAAGGTGACAATGGCGAAAGGGGATTGGATGGTGAGAAGGGCGACGCTGGTCTACCTGGTGAGCGTGGTACTCCCGGTGCACCTGGCGGTCCCGGCCCAGAAGGTCCGGAAGGCCCCAAAGGTTTTGAAGGCCCTCGAGGTGAAACAGGTCCGCAAGGCTTATCAGGTGAAAAAGGTAAGCAAGGACCACAAGGATTTCAAGGTTACCCTGGTCCATCTGGTGACAAAGGAGACAAGGGCGCAACAGGTACGACCGGACCGGTCGGTATAAAAGGCGAGCGTGGACTGCAAGGTCAGTCAGGTGAGCGTGGCGAAATGGGTCCTAGAGGATTTCGTGGCTCAAGAGGAAGACGAGGTGGTGATGGTAGTCCAGGTCCGAAAGGTGATACAGGTCAACCAGGAGCACCTGGACCACAAGGTGAAACGGGGCCACAAGGCACGGAAGGTCCGCGTGGTTTTATTGGTTTACCGGGTCCTCCTGGAGCTGATGGAAAAAATGGTGTGATGGGTCCGCCAGGCGAGCGGGGACAGCCTGTGAGTACGGTTATGATATTTATGAAATTGCTTCTTCATCATTTTTGTAAATTTCAGGGAGAACCTGGAAAGCCTGGACCTCCTGGAGAGGCTGGAGTTATAGGCCCACGTGGTGCGCCTGGAGAATTAGGTCCTGTTGGCGAACCCGGAGTGCCTGGTCTTCCGGGATTGCCTGGAGAAGCTGGTTTACCAGGTGAAGCCGGTAAAGAAGGTCCTCCTGGTCCAATCGGACCAATTGGAGTCCCCGGACCACAAGGCCCCACTGGACTCCCTGGTTTTCCTGGTGAACGTGGTCATCAAGGGCAACCTGGACTTCCTGGACTTAAAGGCGAGCAAGGGTTGCTGGGTGCACCTGGATACCCTGGGGATAAGGGTCAGACCGGAGAACCAGGAAATCCTGGTGGACAAGGTCCACCTGGAAACCTGGGACCACCAGGTAGTGCTGGAGCACCAGGTGCAAAAGGCGAGCCTGGAGAAAAGGGGCCTATCGGACCGTCTGGTAGAGATGGGTTAACTGGGTTGCGTGGACTACCAGGACCACCGGGTCCTCAAGGTACACCTGGAGAAGACGGTGACAAAGGCGAGACAGGTCCGCCTGGCGAAAAAGGCTTGAAAGGAAGTAGAGGGGAACTGGTTAGTATAATTACACCATCTAGTGGTGTGCTTAATAATTAGAAATGCATGCGATTTAGGGCCCAATCGGCTCAACAGGACCACAAGGACCACGTGGTGAGTCTGGACCACCTGGATCACCAGGAGAAAAGGGTCCGCCAGGTGAAGCTGGTCGGAGAGGTATAAAGGGCGAAGATGGTACGCCTGGTCCACCTGGGCCACTCGGAAAACCAGGAATACAAGGTTTGCCAGGTCCAGCAGGCTTAAAGGGTGAGCATGGCGATGATGGTCTGATGGGACCGCTAGGGCCGCCGGGACCTCCAGGCGATCAATGCAGAAGGGGATTAAAAGGTATACAATTTTATATATTTTATGTTTTAAAAAATTAAAAGCCATAAATACATATGTTACTTAGGCGTTCCTGGTCAGCAAGGGAAACCTGGACCGCGAGGACCGCAAGGTACAACAGGAGCAGATGGTCCCCAAGGACCGCCAGGACCAGTGGGTCCAACAGGTAAACCTGGAGAACCTGGATCAACGGGCCCCAAAGGAGAACAAGGCAAATCGGGACCGATAGGAGCACCTGGCCGACAAGGCATACAGGGTCAAGAAGGTCCAAAAGGAGCTATAGGTCCACGTGGCTATCCAGGAGCCAGAGGGGAACCGGGTTTGATGGGTCCGAAAGGGGATGTAGGACCTGACGGTGAAGATGGTAAACCTGGCGAGCAAGGTCCTATCGGAGATATGGGTCCAGAGGGTAGAATTGGTGAACCTGGACCACCTGGAAAACAAGGAATTGAAGGACCAGCCGGTTTGCAAGGCAGTCCGGGGCCGATCGGCGAAAAGGGAGATAAGGGCGATCATGGACCACAAGGTCCGCTAGGAATTTTAGGTCCACAAGGTCTACCGGGTTTGCAGGGGCCTGTCGGTAGCAGAGGCCTCCCAGGTGAAGTTGGAGAAACAGGCTTGCCTGGTCCAGAAGGGTTGCCTGGAAAAGAGGGCAGTATTGGAGAACCAGGACCGGCAGGTCCAAAAGGGGACCGCGGAAGACGTGGCCAAAAAGGACATCGTGGTGAATTGGGTATGGTCGGACTAAAGGGTGACCAAGGAGAAAAAGGTGATCGCGGGTTCCGTGGACCACATGGCCCCGAAGGACGCAAAGGCGAACCGGGACCAGTAGGGTCGATTGGACCAAAAGGCAACGATGGACCGCAAGGTCAACCAGGACCAAACGGACCACCTGGGCCCAAAGGAACAGAAGGCCCAGCGGGAAATAAAGGTGATATCGGCCCACCGGGACCAGCCGGACCGCCTGGCGCGCCAGCCGAGGCACCTTTAATACCGCCTGAGCTGCTCTTTCAAATGCAGCAGTACTCGGGCAGCACCAAAGCAGAGACACGCCGACGACGCGATGTAGATATACTCGACGACTTGGTGCCTTTCGAAGACGACGATGACTTCAATGAAATAATGGGTGTACTCGCGCCGCACGAGCCAGCCACGACCGAACATCACAAGAAAACTAAACGAAAACGAAAGAAGAAACCAACGATGCACAACGAATCAAATGGAAAACTAGTAGATATGTACAGCGCCATCTACAGCATGCGTCAGGAAATGGACCGTATACGCAAACCGACCGGCACACAAGACAACCCGGTACGCACCTGTCGCGATCTGCATTATGCTCATTCACAATTCGAGAATGGTTGGTATTGGATCGATCCGAATGCTGGTATGGCCGACGATGCAATCTACGTGTACTGCAATATGAGCGCAGGCGGTGAAACGTGCATCTACCCGGACGCGCATACGGCTGACGCGCCGGTGGTGCCGCGGCGCACCACTGGCGGCTCCACGTGGTACTCGCGTCTCAGTGGTGGTGCGAAAATTGCCTACGATGGAGTGGGTACAGTGCAATTGACCTTCTTGCGTTTGCTCTCAGAGGAAGGTTATCAGAATTTCACATACAGCTGCACAAATTCGGTGGCCTGGTATAACGAAGCGGATGGTGGCTTTACGCAGGCGCTGCGGCTGTTGGGCGAAAACGAAATGGAAATCGCGCACGATAATGCGCTCGTACAACCAGAGGTGCTGCGCGATGAGTGTCAGGTGAATAGGTTGATTACTTATGGTAGAAAGAAGCTAATTGTATTTGTTTATTTTTAGCGGCCGACCCAATTGGGTGAGACCGTATTGCTGGTGCGCACGAAGCGCCTCAATTATCTACCGTTGGTGGATTTTCATCCGCAGGATTATGCGCGAGCAGATCAAGCATTTGGCTTCAAGATTGGGCCAGCGTGCTTCAAATGAGCGCATGGAGAAGAAAACAACGAGAGGAAGAGGGAGTGAGCAAAGAGCAAATAAAATACTTTAGAAAAAATATACCAACATTTAGAGTTAATTACATTATAAGCATAGGAGATTTAGCCTAATCGACTGCCTTGATTGTAAAAGAGTTTTATAAGCATTCCGATTAATATAAGCGTACTTAGTTTTATTATTTTTAATTTTATATTTCAATACTACTTTAAGCTGAGAGAGTCTTTTGTTGTTAAATAATTTTTTTTTTTTTACATAAAATGAATATATATAAATTGTGCTAAAAGCAAACCTAACTATACACTTTGCATAAAAGGCGAGACCCCATTGCAGAATGCATGAAAGGTCACTGGAATATCTTTCGAAAACAAAACTAGTGTTTGTTTAGAACTTCGGCTCTCTGTGTATTATGTACGTATGTATACCTACATACCTATTGTTATTTGCCCATACTTTTGCAGCGGCACGTAAACTTTTTGAATTGTACACTTTTTTACCACAATCTGTTTCTTTTTTTTTTTTGCCGATGTCCCATTGTCGGTGTCCGATTCCTACACTTGACTATTTTCATTTGCTTGCGCACATTTTTTTCTAAAACTTTTTTCACTTTTTCATTCATGCCACAAATCGTACGGCTTTTGTTTTTTAAGGCGTGCATACGCCGACCGCGCGCGCTCAATGCTATTGTCCTTTAGCAGTGCAAGGCAAGGATTAGTGCAACACTCTATGCATAAACACTTCAGCTGAATGTTTAATGGGAATATGTAGGCAGAAAAATTTTGAGTCTTTTACATTGCCTTCGCTATTTTTTTCCTCTTCCTATTCTCTGTACCATTTGCTTTGTGTCTGCCCCCCCATAGACAAATGCCGTTTTTAAATACCCAATGTTTTGCTAATGCATTTTTACTTGAGGGCATTAGTATGCATACACCAAAAATTCATAAATTTACACTTAATCATAAAAAAATCACACTGACACGCAGCTGTACACCTACACAAACACATCATCCGCACGAAGATTCATCTCATTTCATTTGTTTTGGTTTTTCTCATTTTTTGCTGTGTTTTTGTTTTTTTTTTTTGCCTTTTTCACACCCAAATATTCTTCCACGGGACATCAGTTCATTTTACTTGGCGTCAAGTTAGAAAAAAAGTTGAAAATTACATTAAAAAGGATTGTAATTCCAGCGCCTAAACAAATAGTCGAAAATATGCTGAAATGTTCTTAATCCGAAGTGTATGAAATTCGTGTGCGCCATTTGAAATATGTAAGTGTGGTATGCTCAGAGGTACTTTTTAACATAGTCATTTTTTTGTGGTGGTGTGGGGAAATATGAAAATATTTTAGTAGAGGGAATAATTAATGTCCTTGGTAGTATTCGAGGTGGTTGGTTATATAAGCTTAGATTTTATATGTATGCACATCTTTATATCAACGGACAGTAATGACATGAAAAGTATTTTGTTATAGTCACAACAAAAAGGGCTTGGGAAATGCTGCTGAAGTGGCCGGTATTGGAGCGAAAAAAATTGGGTCCTACCAGTAGCGTAGATGTTATTAGTCCTGTGTGGCAAATATTGTTACATCATATATCCCATACTAATTTGGTTTAAATCCGATCATTCGATCATGAAGAAATTAAATTTTTTAATTTTAGAATTGAAGTCGGTTTGGTTTTTTGCCTAAAAATTACTTGTTTTTATATTTGTGCTGTCGAGATACCTAGCCCGTCTGTATTATGATAAAGCGAAGAGTGGTTTTTGCAATTCTTATATATGTATGTTTTTATATCGTCGTACCATTGCAGAGAATTTCACATCAAGCGAATAATCTAGGTTGGTATACCTTAAGATTGAGAATAAATCGAAGGCATTGGAAGGGCCGTCTTACTAAGTCGATTCTCTCTAAAGAAACTATCCGCCTGGTTTTCACGTCAATCTATATATCAAAAATAATTCACTTCAGATATTACAAGTACTTTTTAATCTTGATAATACATACATAAGTGCGAATATGTACATAGTGTACATATCGTTACCTTAATATAGCAAGGCCCTATCAACAACTTTTGCGTCTTTACAGGGTAGTTACGAAAATTTATAAAAACTAGAACTTTTCAGTTGGGAATTAATAGGCCCACATAGTAATTTATTGATGAAGCAATCTACCTACCTTTGTACAATGCCGAATTTCGAAAGGAAATGAGTTGGGGCCTTTCTATATATTAAGGTAACGATGCGCAAATATATACATATTTACTTACATATATATGTAGGTATGTACTCATATTTTTATTTATAACTAAAATAAAAATTCAACTCAGCTCGTAGTTTTCCATCGATGTTCCAAGAAGTGAAGAGCGCATATTCACCCTCTGGCATGGGCAGCCAAGTCAACTTGTCCTTTCGTATGCGAAAGCGGTCTATGATTATATCACCCTACGGAGAAGAAAAATACGACTGACTGCTGTTATTTTTATAACTATAAGATTTGCTTAAACTCGAAAAATTAGGAAACTCAAACGCCGGACAGCTTAAGGGAAGCTGAATACTGTTTTAGCTACATATTTACCCTATACCTACGGTGACCATAAATATATTTTGAAAATGCAGGACAATTTTTCTAAAAAATGTACCTACATACATATAATTGCGTTGTATAAAAATAACAAAAATATACTACATATATACATTCCTCGTCATTTGAATAGCAGCGTACCCTTTTTTTGATTTTTTACCATACAAAGTATGCTTGACAAAATTTTTATATGGAAGAAAATGCGCAGCACCGTCAACAAAAAAAAATTGTCGCCCCTATGTTTATTTTTTTTTTTAATTTTCAAAAATTTTTCAAATGGGATGTAGAGGTAGAATATGCTATATTTTTATAAAAAGTTAATGCATATTAAACAAACAAAACGAAAACTGTACCTACTAAGTATTAAAAGGATGCGCTATTCAAATAACGAAGATGGTATATTTCTTAATTATTAATCCAATTTTAAACTTTAAACATAAATCACATTTGCTTCATTGGTATTAATCTTTTATAAATGAATATTTACATAATTATAACAAGGCATATTACATATTACTTTACACGAAATATGAACCTCTGTAAAGCAAATTTTTTTAGGCAAACTTTGGGTCGTTGAACACGAAAAAATACCCATGGTTTCAAAGAAGTGTTTTCCGAGATTTGTTCGAAAAACGTATTTTTAGTACTTTTTCAGTTATTCCTCAATATCTCATGAAACGGCCAACAGTTCGAAAGGTATTGATGGGCTCTTTGCAAAAATATATATTTTTTGTGCAGACTGTGTTCCGTAACATCTACATTTCTCATCAGAGTTTCATTTACTGTAAAAAGAAAATGATTGAAATTTCAATTTTTCGCTAGTAACACTAATAATTTTCATGGAAATCGGCAAAGTAATATATTTTTGTAGGTCGCTTATGTTGATTGGATAATTTTTTCATGAGACATTGACGAATAGGTCCGAAATGTACCAAAAACACTTTTTTCGAAAAAATTACGAAAACGCTTTTTTGAAAAGAAAATCGGCTTGGAAAATTTTTTTTTTTTCTTAAGCGATTACCTCAAAATTTGTAGAACAGTGTTATCAATATATTTGATGCTGGTCTTCAATTTCTCGTCACCCATTGTCCATATCCGTACAATATTAAGAACGCATTGACTAGTTGAACCTTTAAAACCAACTTACGCTGCTTTTATTTCGATTAGGAAAAGTTAATTTTAAAATATCGAAGAAAATGCGGGACAAAGGCAGGACACTTGGAAAAAATCAGAACATTTTGGGGGTTTTCTGTTTTGAAAAACTACGCAGGACAGACCTTTAAATAACAGTACGGTCCTGCAAAAAACAGAACGGATGGTCACCGTACCTATACCTAACTCCAAAACTTACCTTGTATGGACAGGAGTGATTGAGATTCGTATAGTCATCTATGATGTTAAATAAATAATCGGCGATTGGATAGATTTTCCGATTATCCAAGAATTTGCAAGCATCGTATGAATTTTCGCCAAAGTACAAGGAATAATCGGATGATTTTTTCATGAAGCGTACGCGCGTCTAAATGGTGAGTAAATTAAAATTTGCTATTCATTAATTTGCCACAACAGTGAGCTGTTTACTATAATTTATTATACGCTGCGCTTCACTCACTACAATGTTCGTTACAGGCCGAGCAAGTCTCACATGCAACGAGGTCTCTGTAACATTACGTGAAATGGGTTTTGTTATGCAAAGCGGAATATTGATAAGACTTGCATCGATGGCCCTACAACGAATGTAGGTAAAACGTATCTCCGCCATATCGCACTGACAGTGTGGAACACCAAAAAACAAAGCAAAAGTTAAAATGAGTGAAATTTCTATAGAGGATTTGGTATCCTTTCCAATTACACAAATTTTCGGGGAAAATTTTTACCTTTGATATTGTCACAGTTGTTATGATAAAAAAGTATGCAACGAATCTGGCTGTGACACACATTTTCCCAGAACTTCTAATACACTACTGAACTGTTATTATAGCTTGTATGCATGTATTTTGCGCAAATCATTGGTGCAAGAAGTTAATAACGGTATAATTAGTTGCAGAAAGATAAAAATTTTAAATTCACGCACTTATGAAAATAGTAGACCAATTGAAAATTATTTGCTGATTAGTTCCATATAATTGCGCCAAGAAATTACAGTATCCCAGCCAGCAAAATCATCGTAAACAAGCTCGTAATTGGATATTTTCTCGAAGAAAAACCGGATTAAAAATCGTTTATGATAGCCGTTTACGACTCTTTTTCGAGCACTTTTTCGCTTTAAATTGTGCATCGCCTACGAACAGTCGTAAACGGATCGAAAAAGCATTCGTATGCGAATATTTTTACGTCCGTTTTTTAATTGTAAACGAGTCTCGTAAACGATTAATTTACGTTAAAAAAGCGTCTTTTTACACTGCTTTATCTACTGTTTTTGAATGCTAAAAATAGAGGCAATTAATTAATTCAAATTATTGTAGTTCTTTTATTGAATGGAATTATAGTTAATAAATATTTATAGTGCCGGATCAAAGTATTGGCACAGAGAATTTTTCGCAATGTATGCAAAGTTTTTTACTTGAATTCTTTTCGCACATTTTGTTTTTTTAATATAGTTAGTATGAAGACCTACTTTCAAATCAGATTTTTGAGAAAAATTCTAA